GAATAACGAAAATGTGGGATTATTATAAGAAGAGCGTTAAAATGTTGGATTTCTAAACAATTTAAAAAGTATTTGTTTTTTATAATGCGACTACAACTACTGTTAGATCAAACTAAGTCAGAATTCGACACTTGCAAAGTACACATTGAACAAACGTGTACTAGATCAGTTCATGTGAGATCAATCTAGATTAAACTTAAACAGATCAGACTTGACAGACCGGACTTGGAGATTTCAATTGAACTGACATGTGAAAACATACTTTCTCTCACAAATAGATTAACACAATTGTAGTCAAATACAATTTCACTACATATATAAATTTTGGACCCCTACTTTAGAAATTTTACTCAAACACAACTAACACAATTTCACTATTCTTATGCACAATTCCTCCAATCTAAAGTTACACCTTTCTCATTATTCCATATGATTTTTTCGCCCCACTTTTCAAACTCATCTCCCCAAGGCGTCTTTGCAAAATCTCTTTCATGTACTAAAACTCGTAAAAGAGAGCTACACAACCATTACTAAAATAATTATTTTATGATTTTTCACCGCTAAGTTACTTTATAATAATGTTTTAATAAAAGAATCAAAATTATATGAGTTAGTGAGACCTTAAATAGTTAAAACACTAATGGTAGTATACAACAAATCCCCATTTAATCCTTTTTGATGTCTCTTTTTATTCATTGAATTTCGTGCATACCTTTCTTGGTAATTGGTACGTTAAATGTTCAAACATGTTAAAACAAAATCTAGACTATTTTACCAAGTAGATATAGTTCATCCGAAACTGTTCTATTAGTTTAGAATCAAGCTTATAAATTGAAACAAGGGTTGAACTGAATTAAATCAATCCAGAATCAAAAGTTAAATTGAAATTATTATACTAAATTTAAATAACGTTTTTTAGTTGGGATTTCAATCAGTATAATTAGTTTACAAAGAATAACCAGTACTCTGTATTCTTTCAATAATTATTTCATTGAAAACTTTTTCTCCCTGGATATAATCTTCCACCGTTTTAGAATATTTATGATGTTTTTAATTGGATTAGTTTCAGTTTCATACCAGGTTAGACCAGAACATACTAGATTAAGTCATGCTACACTTTGACAGTTGTAAAATACTTATAGAACTGAGCACTATATACCATAGTCGACCCGTTCAGATCAAATCAAAACATACTACATTTAAACAGATCAGATCAGAAAATTTCAAACAAATTAAAAACCCTTACATGAGATTTACATGTGAAAACACAATTTCACTCTAACATACATTAACAAAATATTACTCAAACACAATTTCACTAGACTCTTCTACAAAATTTCACTCAAACACAAATTATAAAATTAGGACAATTTTACTAGACTCATACACAATTAATAACCGGTTGTAATTATCAATCTTCTTATTCACTACTAATTTATTTATCTTTTTATTACTTTCTAATTTAATAATTACTTTTAATTACGAGCTCACTTGGTATTAATAATTACTCTGTAGTATTTAACATGCACCAAGTCAATAATTTTTTACGTGTTTGCAGTCTATATTTTCTAATGAAAATAACATTTCTAACTAATTTTCTAATCATTTTCCAGTCTATTGTCTATATTTCATAATGGAAAGAGTATTTTTGTAACTCTCAATTCCATCCAAATGAAATTCATTTTTTCAACCATCTCTACCTAAAAAAAAAATGAAAATGTTGAATGCCTATTTTATCCATTAAATTTCATCCTTCTTGTTATTTTTTTTAAAAAAACAAAAAAAACTAACTACACACTTTTTAAATTTATTTATATAAAAACGGACATTCTAGTTAAGTGAATAAAATGAAACTATTTGACCAAGAAAAGTTAATTTTGCAAATCAATTTTGGATGAAGGTAGTATTACATAATTAATAAATGTCAGATAAATTATAGTAGTACAAATTTCAATAATTAAACCATACGTCGGTCCGATTCCAGACTTCCTTTTAACTAGCAAAAACGGTGAAAGTGTGAAGGAACTATTCAAAATAATAGTATAAATGTAAATTATAGTAGTACAAATTTCAATAATTAAACCGTACATCGGTTCTCATTTTATGAGAACCGGTCATGACATTGTTTGGAATCGGTACGGTTCGGTTCGAGACAAAAAAAATGAGATCCATTTCAAATCCTGTTTTTCGGTCTGGTACCATATGGGTTCGGTTCGGTACCTTGCCGGTTCGGTATTTTTGCCCACCTCTAGTTTTGGGGGCGGTCGTTACAAACATGCTCAAAATATTTCATCAAAAAATTCCACCGGGAAGACCCTCTGATGGTGTTGTCTGCGCGGGGGTGATGGGTCGCAGCTGCCTTCTCGATTGAATTTTGAGCTAAAATTTGGTATGCACAAACTAGACTTGATGAGGAACATGCTCAAAATATTTCATCAAAAAAATTCACCAGGATGTCGTGACAGGGTCGACACACACACACACACACACACTTACATAGTTTTAAGATATGTAGGCAAATTTCCACAAAAGCTCTCTCCTCTGTTTCTCCTTTTGGTACCATGCAAGTACCTCCCCCATTTGTTCAAAATAGGCACCACTCTCGCTATCATCATCATCACTCGTATGGAAGTCACCTCCATCGTATGGGGTCTCCTCATGTCCCGTCTCAGGGACGTACGTAGAGTCATCCGCCACGGTGTTCGCGTCAAACACCGAGCTCACATGACCTTCGCTCATAGTTTGGGCTCGATGGCCCCCACGAACTCCACCTCTCCTCTGGAGGTCCTTGATCGAGCCCGACTAGCGCCAACAGAGGAAACCGGTGCTCACGTCGTAGGCTTGTTCCTCGTTGGCATGCGTCTACCCTCCATTTCTGAAAGAAAGTTTAGACGAGTTGTTAGATTGAATGAAAAAATAATTGATGAGGCAACGAAGGTAGACTTTAAGTTGGATTGGGAGAAAAAGGACGGCGAACGAAGGCAAAGATGATGAAGACAATCGGGGGCGGAGCTAAGAGGGGATCAGAGTGGTAAGCCGACCTCGCTGAAAGTTTTAGAGTATAGAGCTAGGAAATATTTTTGATTTGATATATTATGACCCCCGTAACTCATTAGAAGTGAAAAGTTATGACTTCTGAAAAATCAGCACTATCTAAACGTAATAGTCATTATTTCCCAAATTTTAAAATAATGTATAATTAACTCATTACTTACTTGACATAATTCAAAAATGAGCAAAAACAATCTATCTTATTGTTAGGAGTGCATTTTTATCTAAACTACAAATGAAACATACGACTCAAATATTGTCTGATAATGATATGTCATTTTTATTTTGTACATAGTTGATTTTCGACCCATGTGAACTGTTTTCCTGGCTCCGCCACTCAAGATGATAGGCAAGCATTGCAGAATTATCGTGAAGACAGTAAATATTCTAAATAAGGGTTGAACAAAACTGCATGGCATCGAGGAATTACATGCATTGCCGATGTCTTTTTTCAAATTACATTTGAGACCGTACATTTTAGACAACGACGCATCAAATAGCAACCAAGTTCCATAACTTATTGCCAAAATTTTCCATGTATTGCGTAATGAATGTTTGAGATTAAACTAAAGGCAGTACTACAAAAAAACATGGTGTTCAATATCATTGGAAAGCGATATATTTTCCCCCATGGAGAAAACAGGCTGGAACGAAAGATAAGGGAGGGTAGAATTTTACCCATTTTCTATTGGACCTAGCCATTATCCACATTTCTGGGGAATTTTGTGTAATGGATCCATGAATACGTGTAGAGACTAGAGAGATGAAGAGAGTTTGCGGGGGAATTAAAAGAAAAACACCATGCACGACATTTAGATGGTAGACGAGGGGAAAAAATAGCGGACTCGTGTAATGGGAATAGCATTTTGTTTTAGTAATAGTGGAGATAATTTCTCCACAATTTATGATGTGACGAGTAGATGATATGCGTTACCGTACATATATTCTCCCGGTCAAAATGCAACGATCAAGCAGCGAGCTCAGGTAGCAATGTCAAGGTACCAAATAAATGAATGCTTATAAATAAGCCTCCCCTTCATTTCCTTTTGACATCAATTTAATTCATCCATCACTTGTTTCTTTCTCTCTAGCCAAATTCTAATTCTCCTACCAATCAAGCTTCATTAATTAATTATTATATTATAAAGCTAAATATCATTACTTATATTTCAATCAGTATATTAAGTATAAAGTCAATTTCTTCTCCTCACATTGTGATTCAACTTTCCGATATACATACCGCTTCTATTAATTAGAGAGACGGTCCCACAATGGCACATTATCATCCACCTTGTGGCTTGTTCTGAAACTATTTTCTCCAAATTATTAGTGTGTGTTCTTATACTTCTAAAGTTCTAATAATTATACAAAGCATCAAACCTCTTGAAGCCACAAGACGATTTACTCATGAAGAGGTAAATAATGAATGGGTCTTGCTGCCGCCTCCAGAGTGGAGAGACCCTACTCCTCCAGGGCTGAACCTAGGGACCAACAAAGCCAATGAATGGCTCGTGGTGCACTGGTGCCACTTCCACAGTGGAGAGACCCTACTCCAGGGCCGAACCCAGGGCACAACAAAGCCACCGCCACAGCCACTCTTGGCGAGAACTTTGCCACCATGAAGGGTAATAATAAGCTCATCTCTGGTAACTTATTAGTGACAAGGGTCCTCTCCTTTTACAATATCTACGGAATCTGGTCAAATCCCCAACACCTAATCCTGGCACAAACTCCTCTCTTGCCAGAGAAAAGGACTTTGAGAACTTTGGTGCTGTAGCTTGCCCCGGAAAATGATGCCATCATCAACGTCAGATAATCATTTGCTGCTTCCTTCTCTGCAATGGCGGAAGCCTACCCCTCCATCGGGCAACCCTACCCAAAACTAAGCTAGCTTCAAACGCTAATTAACGTGCTAATAATGAGATTACATTCTGTAGTCACATATAATTCTCATTCTTTCATTATTTCAATTTCCCCTGTTTATAGTAGCATAGCAAGAATAAAGTAGTGTACTATGACCAATATGGCAAAGTAGTAGCCTCGAATAACTTATTCAGATTTAAATAATAAGTCATTGTCAAATTAATGCACAGAGGAGAATATTGGAAACACAACAATACCCACAGTTTCCCTAAGACAATGTTACAGAACTAGTTTCAATTACATAATAAATATGCGAAAAAATACAGCAAATGGGTACCCAAAAAAAAAGAATCCAACTTCTGGAGTTCTTTTTCTCATGTAGATAGGTTACCAGGTTGAGTGGGACATGCTCTGAAGGATGCAACAACCTTTAATACACATAACAGAAACACTTAGAGGCCCAAGTTGGAGAGAAGCTTACGCCATCTAGGAGTTTCTTCATCGAAAATGTATGTCAATGGGGAAATCAGAACACCACTGCCTCCAACCTGAGTAAGCATTATAAAATAATTCATCAGCTACTGCTGTGCTACACAAAAAAGGAATGAATAGTCATCTGGTGTGTACAAATTCAAAACAGCAATTTTTTGCACACATAACAAGCAATTTGTTTGGGTAAATAATTTCTAAAGTTGAAATATATAGAAATATATTCCACTGCCCATCATTAGTATTATGGGTTATAATTTCAAATGTACAATGTCTTATATCATAAATGTTTATTTTGTAATTTGACAAGACTCGTACCACCACATCCCAAATTAATTTATGTTTTAGCCATAAAATGTCCTAAAATAATTAAATCAATACATAATTTCCACATTTCTTCCCCATTACCCTATAATCTTTTAAAATTAAATGACAAGAAATTGCAAAAATGAGTACTGAAAACAATAATATTAAATTAAAATGTTAAATTACTCATTGAGATTAAAAATAACTTTAGAATTCCATATCTTATTATCTTAAGATAAAAAGAACTGCGTATTTCCATCATTTGCAATGGAGCCAAAGACTCGCTATTTTTTGGCTTGGGAATATGATGGAATAAAGCAAAATGGCTTACTAAACTATCTGCGCTTCCTTGTTATGAAGCAATAGTCAATCCATGCAATTTTTGGCACGGTTTTTACTATGGGTCAACCGGAAACTGTCTCTCTGTGCTTTAGTACAGGGGTAAGACTGCGTATATCCGACCCCCCCTTACCCCACCGAATGTGTGGGAGCCTTTGCGGCACTGGGGTAATGATGATGATGAAGATAAAAAGAACTGCATACAGCCTTTGAGAAAAACATTGATAGTTCCTAAGAATAAATAATGAAAAAAACATTGCAAGATATTACAAAAGAAGGCAGATAACACTAGTTATGTCTTTATTATTGTTTTGTGAAATGTTCTATAGGGACAACTAATTAGGGCAGAGGGAGTAAAAGTTACGAATCATTGTCAACTTTATAAAAGTATGCGGTGTATGAAACTCACCGCCCTCAGCTCCTGCACAGACTTGTACAATGCATTCTTTGGGACACAAATAACAATTGCATAGTAATCCGGCATTACTCGACCATCTCGTTTGCAAAATACTGGACTTACTGTGGGTCCCTACATTTATTTACACAAACAGGGCATGTCCAAGTTATTGCAGAGCAGTTATCAGTTATTGCAGACTGCAGTGTGTTCATGATGAGAATGTGTCACACACTACCAAAAGTAGTAAGGTGTTTTTCTACTCTACTAATCTCTTAAGTTACACTCTTGGTCCATACCTGCAAACCTGACAAGGAATTTCGGCTCAACACACGCTCAGCTACTTCCTGTGCTGAACTTCCCCTCATATTGGCAGTTACCTGCCATGGAAATATGTTTAGTAAGCAAATTTTATTTTTAAAAATAAGTGAAAAGTAGGGGGAGATTATACACACTGTGAATTGACCCGAAGCCCGTAAATGAGCCTCCAACCTTTCAAGCATTTCATGTGTTATGTCTAGTACACCCTTACGCTGCATCAATGAATTCCTGCTAGCAATAAAGACAGCCTGTGCAGAAGAAGGGGGAAAAGGTGCAACCAGTATTGAGCACCCAATTGCCATGTGTCATAATGATTTCCATTACTATTTCATGATGATTGTATGCATGTTTTTCAAACTTTGGATCTATATGACAAGGCATAGACTCCACAGCTTGCACCCGGTCAACCCTTGAAAATCCGTTCACCCATTAAATGAACAGAAAAAAGTGTGAAAGTTAAACTATTAAACTCCCTCCGCGTTTGAATACTTGTTCACTAGATTTCTAGAGAAAAACATTTGCAATATAAGTGAAGAAGTACAAGAGCAAAGATGAAAGTGCAAGTAGGGGGTGTGATAAAAAATTAGAGAGAATTCGAAAAAGTAAGGATGACTTGACAAGCTCTTGTTTACCACAAGAGGAAGAAAAAGTATTTCAATAATTCCATAATAAAAAAGGTGCAAAATGTATTTGAATAGGAGCAATGGAGTACTAAATGATGATCATACTATTGTTTTATAATAGTCCCACTAATCATTGGGAAAAATGTGGTCTAAGCCATTTGGACCATTATTTGTACACTTTGAAAGCATCAGAGGCTGAAAAATGAATTACCTGACTTTGCAAGATGACTCCACCTTCAATCTCTTTAAGATTGTTTTCTCTCAATGTTGTTCCACTGCTCACAAGGTCCACAATTGCATCAGCTATTCCCATCTATATTATTAGGAAGAAATGATGAAACAATTATAGAATGTTTTTTCAAACATTTACGCACTCCCAAAAGAAATTTAAAGTACAATTGCATCATACTATCACCTCACAAACAAAATGCTGAAACAAAAAAAAAATGCAATATAAACATCAAAAGGACAAACCAGAACATTTAAATAGAACGAGATGTTTTCTTTGATTTGATCAATACAGTGAACAAGTGAAGACAATCATGCTTCCTAGCGCCAAACACAGTAATTGGTTCATGAGGAAGAGGAAAAATGATTTATTTAAATACAATACAATCTGGCAAAGTCAATAACACTGAACTTAAGAGTATGTTTGGGAGTTAGGATTGGAAAGGGGAGGGGAAGGATAAGGAGGGTTTAAGCTTCTCCGTTTTTTGGGGAATTCAAAAATATGCAAGGCATGATTTTTGAGTCTTTTTGTAACCCTCCAATACCCTTCAAATACAAAATTTTCAAGTTCCTCCAAATTTGGGCTTTTGAATTATAACTAATTAAATGCCAACTCAAGTCCAATTTAAAATAAATACAGCTTCAACTATTTGAATATGTCATACCTCTAAGTAATTTTAATTTAAATTCCTTCATAGCCTTCCCTTTCCAAATTTGCAACTCTCAAATAAGAACAAGAAGGATTTTCTTCATTTCCCATCCCTTCCTCTCCTATGAGTAACTTTCAAAGCCTTCCCCCCCAAACTCTAAAAACAACATACCCTACGGAAACTGATATTTTTTTCAAATGGGTAAAAGTCAGACTTACTGCTGGAGCTGCCTCAAGTGCTCCGTCCGCAGTTGAAAAGGTTACGTGTTTCAATCCACTTTCATTCATAAACTTGGGTCCCATCTGTAAAATAAACGGAGATTGTTAATTAAAATATCATTTTAGAATTGATAACTGTGACAACTGACTACAACAATAATTATATATGTAATTGTGGAAAAGGAGATGGATATGTCACATTGCACATAGCCAGGACAGCATACATATGTGAATCCTGTAGCTACTCTCAAAGGTCTCTCAGGTGTCCAATGTGGCATTTCTGTTAGCTCCTTCAATGAGTTTACATTCTCGAAAATTCCATACTGTGGTATCTGCAAATATGCAAATGCATATTCAGCTAGACATCTTTATAAATAGAAAAATAGGTATGATAATATGGATATGCTTATAACATGCCACAATTACGATGTGTTTAAACAAACAGCTCATTGTCACTTACAGCTAGAGACAATCGGCAATCACCATACTCAAGAGCATCATGGACTATAATAAGATCTTCATTCTCCTGCCAAGATGAAGTTATATAGACCGCAAAGAACAAAAACGTTCTACTAAACAACAGAACATGAATTTGAATCGACTAACAAAGAAATCATCGCACCGATACACTGTTGTACTCACTTCATTCATCATAATAAATATGGAAACTTGTGAACATGTTAAGCAATAAAATCTCATTTAACTGCCACACCAAATGGCTTGTACAAGTTGATGATTCTTCAGGCAGAACTGATATGATACAAAATTTAAAAGTGTGCACTTATTTAAACTGGAAGGTTTTGTTTTAAATTTTATAGGCTGCCCGGTTCACTATGCACCCCTGTTGAGTGAGGGTCCGGGAACGGATCCCACCACAAGGATGAAGTGAGGCAAACCTTACCATGCAATTTTCAAAGAGCTGCTTCAACGACTCATACCGGTGAGCACAAGGTCACACAGGATCACCTTAACTGGTGTATCGAGGCTACCTTTTAATCTCTGTTTAAAGTAAAAAATCTGCCAATAAAACATGTCACAAAAGAACTGCTACTTTTTAAATACTCAGTATCTTGATCCTGATCCAGCATGAACTACACTTATTCAGAAGAGGACAACTCAAGTCATTATTGAGATTCGGATCTTACCTGTCCGTATTCAAAAACTGTGTCTAACCCAACAATACCAAGGTCCAAATCCCCAGAAATCAACTTCCGCACGATATCTTTTGGCCGTTGATACCAAACTTCTACGTTTGAGAGCTGCAAGGACACCCACATCAGTAAAGGACATCAATAAAAATAGCTATTGGGAAAAAACAATAATAACATACTATTGAGTAAAATAATGCAAGACACCATATCCTTGCCTATTGAGTCATGAGAGAAATCTACAGACTTTTATCTAGGAATTGGCAAATGAATTGAAAGTGGGTCCCATCACAAATTTGAGTCAAAATGATTGGACAAGCGATTGAAATGCAAGTCTCAGATAGTATCATATCACATTATCAGCTCATTTCCTATTGATCATAGAGAATTATAAAAGGTACAGCATTTTGGGCTGATTTGAAGAAGACTGGTCAATTCATAAATAACAGAAGTTAGGTTCATTTAAAGATTTCTTTTCTTCTTATGTTTAGGTTCCTTTATAGATTACTTTTCTTCTTATGTTTTTAAGGAATATAAGCTAGAGCTGCTAGGTTATCCGCTAGATAAAAACTGAACACTTTTCCTCCCTACTTTTCTCATTCTTCTTACACCACTTATCTCCTGCTTCATTAACTGCTCTCTTCGATAAATTTTCAATATCACTTGCATCAGGGATTCAAAAATATCAGTACTCCCTCTGTCCCATATTTATCTCATGAAGTACAAATGGCACAGTGATTAATATAGTGGGTATTGTGTGGTGGAGAGGTGTACAAAGGAGAGAGAAATGTGTAAGAATGTGTAAGAAATGTTGTGAACCACAAATTCTTTGCCAAAAAGGGAAAGAGGAGATAATTTTGGGACGGACAAAAAAACAAAGTTTGAAGATAATTCTGGGACAGAGGGAGTAACAATTAACAGAACGAATTTCTTGTGGCAGCTAAATCCTACCCATAAAGAACTCAGGTAAACATAGAAGACAAAGCACCAACTGTGAAACTAGAAACAAATTGGCAGGAAATGTCAGTGGCTAAGTGCACCTGAGGAATTGCGGCAACGTACTGCCTTGGATTTGCTTGTCTCACTGACAATTGGCAGTCCTTTCAAAAAAGAAAAGCATTAGTGAGAATGAGTAAACTATAAAGTTCAATTTAGATTAACCAGTACGCGCGATTACATATTTACCTTGAGAAGATCAAGAGTCTCCACAGCCATTCGACCTTTGCTAGGCAAGCCAAGGCGAATCTCATTTCTCTCAACAGAGCGCAGTTCTACATTTCCATTGGCCAGAGTAATCGGTGATGCTTCAGAGCAACGCATAACGATGAGTTTATTGGACGCATTGAAGCCATTAGCACCTGAAGTGGAAATTGAAGACGATAAGAGAAGCGAGAGGGTTGAAATGGATGAAGAGCTTTAAAGAAAAAGAGCACGAATGGCTGCCATAATGAAATTCACAGATACTATCGTATATGGGAAGAGAGGGTGTGGCCCTGTAGGTGTAAATAATCTATTACGTAGTACTACGTATCTATTACTACCTTCATCCCCCTAAGATTGAGACAAGGAGTGGTGGATTATTATGAAAAGTGATGTTCTGTAAACAAAGTCAGAATGAATTGCAACTACCCAAATATTACAAAATATAGTACGGGACAACCTTAGTGGGACAGACAAAAAAGATAATGATAGGGGGTGGAGGCCAGGAGGGGGTATATATATAATATAATAGCAAAAGGAAACTTCCAGAGCAAATTCCAGCCAAAAGAGTCCCATGGTATAGTCGTGCACACGCACATTACTGGATTAGTTCAGCATAGGAAAAAGTTGACAGACAAAATGATTATTCTTGGCCGCAGCAACTTTGAATTAAAGTTTTGGTTCTCAATAAATACAATGAAGACACTGCAGTATTACACAACGGATCAGTATTTCTAAATAAACACACTTATGATTTATCTTCTCAAGACATAGAAACACGAAAAGACACGTGAAAATGGAAAGACACCACATTAACCTTTCATAATAATTAAGAAACTAGCAGAGTACACCCATGGTATGGTCGTGCTCGTGCACACGCACATTACCGGATTAGTTCAGCATAGGAAAAAGTTGACAGACAAAATGATTATTCTTGGCCGCAGCAACTTTGAATTAAAGTTTTTGTTCTCAATAAATACAATGAAGACACTGCAGTACTACACAACGGATCAGTTTTTCTAAATAAACACAATTATGATTTATCTTCTCAAGACATAGAAACACAAAAAGACACGTGAAAATGGAAAGACACCACATTAACCTTCCATAAGAATTAAGAAACTCTAATTCCAGCTCTATATATAATCATTTCACACAGCACTTGCAACCCAGTAATTCGATATTATAACTTTTAAGAAGATAAACATAACATAATACCCACAGTAGCGGGAGATTGAGAACATCACAGCCAGTCAAATTGAGCAATAAAAATCTTCAATCTTGTCTGCAATAAGATATTTTTGGTGCCAAAGTGGTGTTGATGTCTTCAGAACTGTCTGCAATAAGACATTCTTGAGTGGTTATACATCTTATTCCAGGAGAAAGAGTTTAAAAAAATCATAATTTTGATCTTAACTGTCACATAAATATGTACATACTTCTTATTTAAGATTTCTGCTATAGATTTATCCATGCTCTGCTCTTACCTAAGTCGGGATGTCCATGTTTGTATATACTCTACCGCCAATCATTCATTAGTCCAAATCAAAATACATAATATGTACATTAAGGGGCAGATCTAGCATTTGAATAGAGCGTGGGCCAAAACATTAATACATTCTACCCCATCTCATTGGACTTTGCCAACTTTATGTTAGGTGTGAAATAAGAAAAGGAAATACTGTGTGGATGGAGGGTGTAAAAATAACTTCAATTGCAACAAGGTAAAATGTTAAAATACAAAAAGAATTTTTACAAATATTTTACAAGAATAGAAGTTTTCATCAAAGTCAAATTAAAAAAAAAAAACATCACAAATTCAGTTCTACAAAAATCAATCACATCATTTGGTGAATAAGATCAGATTAAAAAGATCCTCACAAGTAACAATCATATTAAAAACAGCGGGGTTAACACTTAAATACTTTTTAAATTTAGTTAAACCAGTCACCAACCACATTGTTGTGATAATGAGATATGGTGTATTCCAATCATTCAGTGTTCAGAAATTCTATAGAAACATTTATGGTTATCTGATTCCTTGGTGAAGTAAAAGAAAGTTGAAAATATGCTTATGAAACATTTGGTACGAAATTACTAATTGCCCCTGTTAACAACAAGAACGCTTTCAATGTTACTTATAAAATGTTGCACACAGAGTCGTATTTTAAAAAAACCACATTGATATATTAATTTGATCACCGTCTTTGCAATCCAAGTTGAAAACAGTGCACTGCTGACGTATCTGAACAGTATCCCCATAACTATCTTTACACATCAAAGAGAAACTTAATAAAGAGGGTGTGCATAATTTTTTAAAATTCATTTATTCCTACAGTTTACTAATTAAAATTTCAGAAAACTACAATTTATTAATTGAACAAAAGACGGTCAATTAAAAGTTGAATATGAAATTTTCTGAAGCATATATCATAAAAATTCACTCATTGAATCTCATATCTCTTCTGTTTTGAACGAAACCTGAAATTTAATTTGAAGAAAACAAGTGTACCTAGCTGAGTAGTGAGTCGGAACAACGGCAATCAGAGATTTTTCCAGCGTCCAGATGCAGCAGACAACGTGTCGAAGAGGTGCGCGCGGAAGAAGACTACGCCATTGTTGGCGATGGACGGAGGGACGTCCGGCTACTACGCGAGCAATGAGGGATAGGATGAGTGAAGATGGTCGGTGGTGCTGGTCAGTTAGAACGTAGGGAGCGTTGGTTCCTGATTAGGGGATAACCTTTTTAAAAATAATTGGGCCTTTCGACGGGCCGGTGAGTATTTTTATACAAAGACAAAAGAAAAAAGGGAACAGTGTTCCCGCCCAAATGCAGTACGGTAGTGGGTCGGGTCGGGTTACCATGGGTGCGGAAACGGGTCCTGGGCAGGTCCATTACTGCTCTTTAATGCTGGTCAGTCGCCCAGGTTAGGGTTGTATGGCTAAAAACGTATGGGGTGTTAAATAATACGGAGCATTTAATGCCAAAGTGACTTTTTTTTAAGGGAGATCACAAATGAATCCTTTTGCGGGCCTTGAACCACAAAATCATTAAATTGTTCGTACTATGGCATGTAGAAGTTGGGATCTCTCACAATAAAAAAACAAAGATCTGATGTGATGATTAAAAAAAATGAAGTAAATTGTACTTCAAATCTTAAGTGTAATTCTTGAGCCACCCAACCATTTAATGCAGTGTACAATCTTGCTTAAACAATATTATTTTTGTACTACAAAATCTTAATGTTGAGATGGAGTGGGATTTCTACCATACGTTATTCCACCCTCCATCCAATATAAATACCCAAGTAAGGGATGGCCACAACACACTACAAACCAGCATTCAGCATACATTTAAAAAATCAGATCAATGGCAGCAACAGGTTCATCGCGACCAGGTATGTGGTCCTTGATCAAGGATATCGATCACACAAAGACCACCTGGGCAATCAGGGTTCGAGTAGTTAGGGCATACGAGGTTCCTCCACACTCCAAGGGAGGGGAGACTCTTGAAATGGTTTTGCATGATGTAGAGGTATAGTTTATAAAATCCAACTCTTATGTTTTAAATTGCGGGAAAACTGTCAAATAGGTCCTCGAACTTTCATAAAAAAGTCAATTAAGTCCTTCTATAGGAGACTTTGTCCGGTCGTCGCGATTTGGGGCGGTTCTTGGTGGAATTTTTTGATAAATTTTTTTAAGCATCTTATTCATCAAGTCTAGTGTACTCATACCAAATTTCAGCTAAAAATTTAATCGGGAGCGCTTTCAAATTAATTCGAGAACGCAAAAATGCGCAGTTATCTTCAAGAATTAATTTGAATGTGTTCCCGATTGAATTTTTAGCTGAAATTTGGTATGAGTAAAATAGACTTGGTGAACAAGATGCTCAAAAAAATTCATCAAAAAAATTCCACAGGGAACTGCCCCAAATCGCGACGGCCGGACAGAACCTCATATAGAAGGACTTAATTGACCTTTTTATGAAAGTTCGAGGACCTATTTGACACTTTTCCCTTTAAATTGCTGAATGTTTTTATATAACTGTTAATGTCTTTCTAGGGTGACCGGATTCACGCCATCATCAAGTGGCCGCAGATAGCCCTGTACAAGTCGATGATAACGGAGAACAAAGTTTATGCCATAAGAAACTTTTTGGTGCTTGACAATTACCAATCGGTGAAGACTACAAGTCATCCCTACCTAATTCAATTCATCTCAAAAACCCTGCTCAGTGAGGATACAAGGACAGAACTGCCTATGATGGTCTATGATTTTCAGCCTTTTGACATGTTGCATGCCCAAAGAGTTATCAACGAGAAAAGTCTAATTGGTGAGTTAGAATCAAATTGCATTCCTCACCACGTTGCTTACACATACACAAATATCCTAAATACAGTTTCTATTGGTTCATTATGCAGATGTCATTGGGAAGGTACTGTCCAAGAGCCTTATTCAGACCCACATAAGCAACGGCGGGACTGGTAGGCTAATGGAGCTGACTTTGACAGACCCAGAGTATGTTTTTACCACTTAGAATATTTTTCCAAAAGAAAAAACACATATGCTTATTGACTGAAACTTTTCTAAACTACAGGGGTAATAGGTTGGGCGCGGTATTGTGGAACAAGTACATAAACCAGTATCTGGATTATGTTAATGCTAATGAAGGAGTGCCTGTCTTTGTGATATTTCAACTCTGTAGGCCGAAAAGATACCAAGGTTTGAGAAACTTAGCAACATTCATTTTTGCAAAACACAATAGCAATAGCTAAACTTTTTCGTGTCTTAAACACAGGGATCTTGACTGTGAATTCGTCTTTTGATGTATCAAAGCTCATAATCAACGGGAACACTACTGAGTTTCTCGAGTTCCAAAGCGAGTATGTGTAATTTTTATTTTTAAGTTCATAACAAATCTCCTAAAACTAAAGTCTGACTACCATGCAATACACAGGTTTCCAGCAGATGGTGATGACACCATGACTCAAACCTGCAACCCGCAATGCTCACAGGCGGAAGGGAGGGATGATATACTCGGTGGAAATGCTGTCATTACCACCATGGAGGATTTTATGAAGGCAACTGAGGTGTGTTCTAAAGCTATTGAGTCATAGTTTTCGCATTTTGAATAAATATGCCCACTGCTAACAAAAAATTCATACTTGGATAGGAAAATATTTATTGGGTACTTGTTGAGATGATTTCTATAGAAAACTTTTGAGAATGGTGCTACCTAAGTTGCCCAACATGCCACAAAAAATTGCAGCCAGAAGAGAAACGGTTTAGGTGTACAACTTGCAGCATGTCAATGGCAGAAGGAGTTTATCGGTTCATTACTTAACCTAATGTGCTTTTATGATTATAGGATGTTGACGTTTTTATTTTAGTAAAAAAAATTGTTACTATCTGATGATTTAGCTACAAGGTCAGTGTGTATTATGGACAACACTGGGCATGGAAACTTCATCATTTGGGACAGGGAATGCATAGAAATTCTGGGAAAAACTTCCGCAAGTCTGAAAGCCGAGGTTGAGAAGGTAACACAATAATCCGTAGGCTGGGTTAACTTTGATCAGACCTTTAATTGATTTTGGGTCTGACCACATTACTTGGAAAACACAGAAAACCGGGGATCCAAGTCGCTTTCCGGAAGACATTGAAAGCTTGGTTGACATGAAGGCAATTTTCAAAATTCAGCTAAGGAAGAAGAAAGCTGAGGAAAATGCCTACAATGATGGAATTACTCTAGGGGTGGTTAGCATCATAAGAGATTCGAATGTTCTCGCAATGTATGAGAAGAAGGAGCACTTGGAAACTATGGAAGGTGATGAGAGTACACCAGAAAAGGTATTTAGAAAAATTATTAATTTCTCTATTTGCAGCTTGAATATAAATAAATATGACAACTAAATGTAAAATATTTTGGTTGCAGATTGGTTCAAATGAAAATTTGGGAGAAACCTCCAACGGAGAAAAATCAACTGTTACCAAGGGCGAGGGGAAACGAATTTCGGCAGAAAAGGAGGTAAACGATCAAAATTCTGACATGTATATAATATTTTCGTTCAAAATTTAAAAAATGGATTACTAAACAGCTATTAATGCTAGGTTTCTGCCCCAATTGAGCTTCCAGACACACCCACAGAATGTACCCAGAGGGAGGTTAATGTTGGTTTGAATGATGAGGTCAAAAGAAACTTGAATGATGAATTTTCCAGCAGTGGGAATGGCAAGAAGCTGAAGATCAAAATCAAGCAGGAACCGCTCTAATGCGGGTTCAGACCAGGGATGACATTGCATGATATTTTGTTGGCACCTACTATGGTGTTTATTATTATATGAAAACTGTTTCAAAGGCAGCATGTATGCCTTCACTTTTTGGGATAACTGAAAACTGTGTAACAGACCACTAAACCCTACTTTATGGTATTGTGTGGTGTGCTATTTTGTTTAAACTATGCAATTGTGTAACAGACCATTAAACCCTACTTTATGGCTATCGTGTAGTGTGCTATTTCATTTAAACTATGTGTTGGAAGTTGTTTATCTATATTGGGCAGGTTTGCAGGATTTCAGAGAAGGGATATTGCTAAACCATTTAGGGACGTTAATCCTCCTAATATCTTTGTATTTTATAAACAAAACTTTGTTTTCACACTAACGCACTAACATATGTTTGTAGGTTGATGAAAAAGTTGTGGGCTAAGGAAAATGCTACCAATGGTTTGAAGAATTGGCTTAACTGCAAGACGAGGGCATTGTTCGAAGGGAATGGGTTCGTCTTTCAAGGGATGGTGTTTTGAAAGCATTTACTGAGAAAAATGTAACTACAAAAATTCTAAGAGGCATTTGGTAACTAAGTGCAGATGTGTACTCTTAGGATTTCAAAAATGTACTATTTGAATTTCAAAATCTAATACAAGTGTATTAATAATAAAAAGGTGTGCAATCTTTTGTTGCCATTTGGCAATTGCTGTCAACAACTTGCATAATTTTAAATAATGAAGTGTTCAACTATGTAAATTCTACGAGGCATTAGATAACTAAGTGCAGATGTGTACTCTTAGGATTTCAAAAATGTATTATTTGAATTTGAAAATCTAATACAAGTGTATTAATATTAAAAAGGTGTGCAATCTTTTGTTGCAATTTGGCAATTGTTATCAACAACTTGCATAATTTTAAATAACCTAAAGTGGGGAAAGAAGTTCATACCTTAGAGTCTTTTTGTTTTATGGAGGGTTACCTGCAATCCCTATTTACTAAATAATATTACAAACCTTTTAAATTTTACATAAATGGCAACCTACTACGGTCCCAAAACTATTCTTATTACAATTTTCTAAATAGGGTTGTTAAACCTCTTCAACCATAAAATTACACCTGTCAAAACGTATTAAGAACAGTTATTATTATGATGGACAATGAGTACTTTTGGATAAAAGTACGAATAAGTTTTAGAGAGAAATGTTTGTAAGAAAATAAAATTTGGTAATATTTTAGTACTTAATGTTGCAATATCAAACTTGAAATAAATTTTATGTATTAAAGCTTATTTGAAATTGTTATACAAAAAAAAAATAAACTTGGTGAGCCATTGCTAAGAGTCATTACTACAATTCAAATACGAAATCTGAGTTTAACTTCATTTTTTTTTTTGGGAAAAAATTGTGTAAAAAATAATATCTGCCCAAAATGTCATTGAAGTGTATGTATTTTGAAAATTCTTCAAAAATAGAACCATGCCTAACAAATAAATATATGTACAGATGTCAAAAACTCGAATATAATAGAAATTTAACCAACATGTTAAAGGGATATTTGTTTCATTTGGTATGGAAAGGTATATTCAGTTTGGATAAAAAGATTTGAGAACTACATGGTTCCACTTAGCATTTTGGGCATGTGTATTTCGGCCATAATTCTGTAGCCCAAGTATTTGGGGTTTCAAATACCTGAGTTTTCTAAAGGCCTTACCCTAGACATAAATAAATTAAATTAAATTAAATTTAATCAATACATATGCAAAGGAATGCTGAAAAATAATAATTATAAATGTTTACAACAGGTGAAAATGGACTTTGATATTTCAAAAGGAAAAAAAATTCCAAATATTTCATATATAGAACAATCTAATTTTGTAAAAAGCAGATATTCATAACACTTAAATAGTTTGTAAAGGTTAAATAAAATTATGTATACATCAGGTGTAGAGATTTAAAAATAAAACCGATAACTACTCAAACCTGTTGATATTTTTTATAAATAACAGTATCAATGTTATCATTGTTATTTAAAAGTATCAATGTTATTTTTAAAAGTGTTTAAAAGTGTTTGTAATCAATAGACATTTAGAAATAAATGATTAATTTTTTTTGATGTAAAAGTTTATTAAGAGTATTTAGCAGAATCGAGATTCAAACCTGCCCAAGATATGTGTGTACTTGAAGGCTGCGTGCAACTAATGTAGGTACCAACTTCCAATGTTGGAGATTGTGTGGCTCAAGAGAGCATTAATGAGTAGTATAATTGATTTAATACTTTGTACTTTAAAAACACATTATTTCTTGGGAGCCAACTTATATATTTTTACTAAATAAATAAAGTACAAAATGTATTAAAAAACAATTACAAATAATCGAAAATTATTTTTGGAAATGAATTCAAAAAATTTGAAAATCAATTCCAAAAACATAAATTATAACGCGAACACCAAAAAAAATTTGCAAAAGATTTCTACACAACAAAGAATTTTAATGTGTACATTTTCAAACATTAATTTGTTTGATGTAAAAGTTTATATAAATTATTTAGCAGAATCAAGATCAAAACCTGCCCAAGATACCTCTGTACATGAAAGCTGAGCGCAATTAAAGCAGGAAACAACTTCCAATGTTGGAGATTGTGTGGCTCAAGAGACCATTAATGTGTAGTAATATTAATTTAACACTGTACTTTAAAAACTCATTATTTTTTTTGGGCTAACTAATAAATCTTTACTAAATAAATAAAGTATTCTTACAAATTCTTTGGGGCTAACTAAATAAATCTTTATAAAAAAATTCAAATAATCGAAAATTATTTTTGCAAGTGTATTCTTAAAAATTTCAAAATAAATTTTGAAAAAAAGATTCTACGCGAACACCAAAAAACTATTACAAAATATTCATACACAACAAAAGAATTTAATCTGCACGTTTTTAAAAATTGGGCTTGTGCTTAAAGGTAATCATGACATGAACAAAACTGTTTATTAAGTACAATGGTTAGTAGGGTTGGAAACAGTCAAGGGGCAGGTATTTATTGTACAGCACTTGAGTAGCACTACACAAAAATATTAATACAACAGAGTCTATTAATTCTAGGATGGAATGTAGGGCGGCTGGAATTAAATAAAGATGTACAACAAATATTATAAAGTATTCTAGAAAGGTAACTTACTTATGGTCAATAGCCAAAATTGCAAAGTGAGTGGATATATAACTCCCAATGCATTTACTCCATGCTCAGAAGCTCATTTATGAGCTCAACCAAAATTTCTAACAACTGAAACTGTGAGAAAGGCTCAAGAATAACTACGGCCAATGCAGTTCATTGTGAAGAAAAGGTATGTTTCATAACTCATTATTGACAATGCTATATGAAACTATGCAATGAACACTGATACCAAATGTATTTAAGCTGATTACAACAGCTAAAATCCTTTTAGTTGTAAAAAATAATGCTATTTATTTATTTTGCAATTAAAGATGAGAAGCTGTTCATGCAAAAAATGTTCTCGGCCAAAATGTCATACATGTGGACACTATCCTGGACTCTCTTGGTTGGAACCATGCTCTTTGTGTAATGGCAATTTAAGTCACTTTTTCTGCATGAGGCCAGTAAACAAAAATAGGCGTACTGGCAAATACTTATGCAAAGATTGTCAAGAATGGTTAGATGCAGGCCCAATTATTCCTAGAAGATCAGTGCGCACAGTAACACTGAATCGGAAGTACTTCAATGAAAAAAATTGTGTGGGGATGAATTTTGGTTGGCTTAACTAGGGATGACCTTAGTAATGCATATATATAAGGGCAAAACTTTGATGCATATGTTTTTGCGGGATATGTAAAAGGGCAAAACTGATTTGATTTTTGCTCATTTCTGCGTTCTGATTTGTCTATGTAATCCATGGCATGCTTTATGTAGACCATGAAATGCTTTATGAAATCTAATGTTTAATGTTGTATGCATATGCACCTTTGAAGTTTCATTGTTTTAGTTATAAAACAGCTGAAGAATTTTTTAGTTTATGCATTTGACAGATGTTTCGGTGTATTTTGTAGTGTAAAGTGTATACAAAAGTTCAGAAAACAATTGGAAAGACCTTAGTAATGCATTTATATGAATGAAATATGTTGATGGAGTATATGGCCCAAGAACCCCCGGCCCATAGACTCCTACTTCTCCTACACAAGTCCATTGAGCCCAGAGGACATCTCAGGCCCAAATACAACGGCCCAAGCTTCAAAGTAGCCCAGAATACACACTGGGGTGCCTTCGGCCTCCTTGGCCGAAGGCTCCAAAACTCTCAGAATAGCCTTCTCTGGCGTGAGAAGCTACTGGGAGAAAACGGGCGAGAACATTAGCCTTCGGCACTATTGAGCCCTCGGCACCAGGGGAAGCCCTCGGCTGAACCAAGCCTTCGGCTACACGAGGAGCCTTCGGCTGGACTAGCTCAATCATCGAAGATTCCTTTTAGAGACAGCCAACAACCACATTTAATGCCACGTCGCATCCGCCAACCGCATTCAATGCGGTGAACGTACCACTGCCGGTGCCAACCGGCTGATGTGACCCTTCGGCCGTTGGATTACTGACACGTGTCCCCTCATCGCATTTATTGCTGCTATAAATAGCAGCCCATTTCTCCTTGTAAAACAGAATCTACATCTCAGCTCCACATCCCGAGTTCATTTAATAAAATCGACTCTCTCTCCTCCTATTTGCTCTGACTTCTCTCTAGTTATTTCCGCAATAACCCTTCGGATAAGATACCCCCCGGGTAGACTATCCATCATTTGGTGCTCTCGTTGAGAGGTCTGAACTATCAAGTAAGAAACCCTCCCCCTCTACCAAACACGAAATACTTACCAAAAATGGGAAGAACCACCCGTGCCCAGTCCAAAACCCTTGAGGAGAACCACATAGCTCCCGGCGAAACCAACGGGGCTGAGGCCTCCAACAGGCTCTTAGTACCCGAGGGTGGTATCATCCTCGAGTTGGAGCAGGCTACTGCTG